ATTATGTACAAATGGGTAATTTAATCAAATTTTTTATGTAGCTTTAAGTTTGTTTTAATTCGGATTTATGACGCATTTTCACTTGAGCTTTGTTTGTTTTGATCTACTATAATGCTCGTACTTTGCACGTGAACATGCCTTTTTTTAAACTCTTTTCATTCGAGTGCAAAACTATTATTGTACTAATATAAAATTCTAATATTAATAAGCTGTGTTGTGTACAAAGAATATTGTATGAGTAATTTCTATATTTTGGGTATTTATTATAATTTAGTATTAATTTATTCAGATGCTTATAACAAATTAAATAATGCTTTAATATTATAATATATAATTATAGTTTTTTAACTATAACATAGAATAATGATAACAAATTATATGCTATTTACAACCATTCTTATTTCTAGTATTTGTGTATAGTATAATTATAATACTGTTATTCACTATAATGTATTAAATAATAGTGCAATTCGTAGTTGGGTTGTAATATTAAAATAAATATTTTTCTTTTTACTACTACATATTTACATAATTTTACTATATTATTATTCAATAACATACTTTTTTAAGAATGTTTAATACCGCATTAATTTGTTTATAATAGTATTTATAACTTATTATAAATAGGCATCTAACAATTTAATAATATATTATTCATAGTTATTTTATAAAATGTTTTATTACACTAATTGATTTATACTATTTTACTATGATTAACCATTAAACATGTAAATTATAATATATTTTATAAATTTTCTTATCATTATAAAGTATTTATATTACTTACATTTTAGTGAATGCCTAAATATGTGGGAAAGTGAGGAGGTCCATAATCAATAAGATGTTCTGGATAATTAGTTAAAGTTTAATTACAATTAATAGTATAACTCCAAGCTATCAAATTTTGACAAGGCAAAAAAGGAAATAAAAAATTTAACATGTGAGTATTCTCTTTTATAAGTAGTATATATATATAAATTTAGAGATTGCACAGGTGTGTGCATTTGGTTTTAGTTTTGTTTGTCTAAGAGGACTTTTTAGCTTATTTGGTTATTTTGGATTGGGATCATGACTTAAACAGTCCTGGTTATTTTTATCTAAAGTTGGGTTTAACGGAAAACTTGGTTTCATGAGGTTTGCTAATGTGATTATGTCATGCCTGCTTAATTAGTTCTCAACCGTAAATTAAAATTTCAGTCTTGAAGACCAAAGATCGGACCGGGTGAGGAGCTTTTTAACTTCTTTTCTTTCAAAATTTCTTTCCTTTTTTTTGGATAATTCAGGTCATGTTCTAAGTGTTTGGTATTTGTGTATAGTATAATCATAACACTGTTATTCACTATAATGTATTAAATATTGAGTAGCGTTGCCTGAATAAATTCGATTATGTGTGAAGTTTATTAGAACGACATGCACTATAAATTGCAATAACCGGTAAATGGAGCTAATTAAGGAGGTTATGTAGCCTTTCTTCAAGCCATATTATTTCAGAAACGTTTGTGAAAATAAATTTGGTTAGACATTTGTTAAAGATGCTTGCGATCAGCTTTAATTTTATTGAGTTTAGAGTTCGAGGGTCTGACGCATGCATTTGGGTTTCCTACAGTTCACTAAGAAGTCAGATAATAAGGTGGACAACGTCACACTGCAAGTTATTTGCGTCTTACCAACATCTAGTTGTCGGTTACTTGGTCCCAAAATAACCACCGGCAAGCTAATTGAGGTTAAACCAACAAAAATCCGATTCCCATGTAAGTACATTTCCTTCCATCAGATTTTTCGATACTCTTTCTAATCTCGATCAATGTTGGGGGTCTTATTTGTTATATTCCCAATTTACTCGTGTAACTTCGTAGTTTTGGTTTGATCAGTTGAATTAGAGAAGCAGATATCGTGCTCTATCTTTATATCCAACAAAACTGATGACCACATTGCCTTGAAGGTAATTCTAATTTGATTTTTTTGGATAGATTCAGAAAACACATAAAAATTAACTGATGTTTTCTGTCTGTGTTGTTTTCCTCTTGTTTTAGTTGACGTCCACGAATTCGGTGGACTACAGCATTCGACCTTCCATGGCAATCATCTTACCACGATCCACATGCGAAGTCATTGGTGAGTTTTGTAAATTTCACAAATTTTCTACCTGTTTGATCTCCTTTTGATATAGTTCTAATTAATTCAGATTTTTTTTAATTTTATAGTTCTAATGGAAGAGCAAAGGAAAGCACCACGCAACATGAGATGCGATGTCACTTTTTCTATTAATGCCGTCGTCGCCTTTGCAGGAGCCACTGCGAAGGACATCGTTGCTCATAAAATGGTAATTCAATATTAAAAAAAATTTACCTATAGGTTTATTTTGATTTTGGTCTATGTGGTATAATCTTGGAAAATTGACTTAATTACACGTTCAATGCATGCAATTAGTTGTGTTTGTTTATTTTGAATTTAGAGGTTGTCTCAATAAGACGTTTAAGCTCATTTGAATTTTGAATTGGAATTGTGAAATAAACTGTCCAGGTTATTAACTAAAACAAGGGTTGATTTAAAATTTGGTTTCCCATGGTTTTACTAATTCCTATGAGATCATGCCATGCTCGTTTTCTAGACTTAACTCGGCATGAAAATATATTTTGTTTGCTTCTTCGAAGATGTTAATTTGTAGGTATCAAGAATGGGTAGCATTTTTCTAAAATTGAATTTTGCATGTAGGTTACTACAAGTGACACATACTATGGAGGATAACTTAGATATGAAGCTGAGGGAGGTTACTCTTAAATTAAATCACTCTAACCATTGCATCAAAACTCCAAAGTTATGGTGAGAATTGAGAATTATAGTTTTATATTAATTCTATCATGTTCCCTGAGATTGAGTGTCCTTTTTATTCGTTGAGAACCTAGACTCGTGCAACTGCTACCATTTTTTAAAATCTGGATTAAATCATGGCCGTCAAGATTCGCACATGGATTGCTTTGATACCATTTTTTCAAATCCCTCTACCATTGAACATAAACTCTAAAGTTATAATGAGGGTTGAAGATTATAATCTTATATTAATTCTAACAGTTACTAAGTCACATAAACTCTAAAGTTATAATGAGGGTTGAAGATTATAATCTTATATTAATTCTAACAGTTACTAAGTCCTTAAGCCATAAAATTTGGGATCTGGGTTGAAGATTATAATCTTATATTAATTCTAACAGTTACTAAGTCCTTAAGCCATAAAATTTGGGATCTGATCATGAAAAAAATATTTGTTGAGTTTGTTAAAAGAGGCCTGTTAGCTTTTCCTTAATCCAAAGTTTGAGCGTCTGATGCGTGTAAGTGGTTTTTTTCTTCAGTTTTTCAGAGAGTCGGGTAATACAGTAGACATGGTGAAGCTGAAAGATATATATGTATCACCGCCTAAGCCTCCATCGCCGGTTCCTGAGAGATGCGACAAGCGATCTTTGTATTGGGCTTCTGCTACAACAACTTTACGGAAATTTTGTAATGTGAGCATTTAAGTTATTTTTCGATCGGCTACAACAATTATTTTGTTGCTTCTTTAGCTCTCTTAATATTTCTCCAACGAGATTTTCTCTTGACACTGAGGGTCATCTTTAGTATCTAGTGTTTCATGGAGATCCTTTGTCAATATTTATGGAGATTGTAGATCTCCTTTTTCTAAGGGGAAAAATAATAATAAATAAATAAATAAAGAAGGATTTCCTTTCTTTACCGGAGATTGTAGCTTTCCTTTATTTATTAGAGATTGTAGATTCCAGTTTTTACTTGATTGTCACTTTGGTTGCGCATATCTTATATTTGAAGATTACAAAATTTTAAATTTAGTGTTACAAGTAGTATGAAATAAATTAACCATAATCTTTATAAAACACGTGGTATTTGTAATATCTAGGTTAACGGTATTCACATTGGAAACTTATTTTCTCTGTGTGTATTTTTTGCGAGTTCCTTTATTCACCTCATTGCTATTATAAATCGAACTGCCTCTATGGGTGAATTTTTTGTGCATACTTACAATCATCTAATGCTACATAAAATCATAATTGAGTCTTACAATTATCTAATACTACATAAAATCATAATTGAGTTCCTTTTATATTCTTATCCATATAATGACTTAAATTTCAGGGCTTTGCGAGGAGGAGAATGTGGAAATCCCACACAAAAATAAACTCTAATAGTGACTTGTGAGTAGAACAACTCATATCCTTCATCTTATCAGTTTGAGTTTGCTACCTTTTGTCTTAGCATTTTTTATCATAATTTTGATCTTTTTTCGAGATTGTATTATTATAAAGGAATTGACTGACAAAAAGTTTAGTGCTTCCTCTTATAGTTCTATATTAGTGGATTTTTTGTATTATGGACCGTGGATTTACGCCGAAGTTGGTCAATTGAACTTGGTGTAATTTTTTTATTGGGGGTAATTTCTATCTTATGGAAAGCGGTTGGTTTTCAGGTTGC